CTGCGGCGGCCGCCGCCGCCGACGTCGTTAGTCGTTAGTCGTCGTCGTTGTCGTCGTCGCCGCCGTCGTCGCCACCGCATTCGTCGTCGTGGCCGCCGCCTTCGTCGTCGTCGCCGCCGCCGCCGTTGTCGTCGTCGTCATCGCCGCCGCCACCGTCGCCGTTTACGTCGTCGTCGTCGTCGCCGCTGCCGTCGTCGTCGTCATCGGGGTCGTCGCCGACGCCGCCGCCTCCGCCGCCGTCGTTAGTCTTTGGTCGTCGTCGTCGCCGTCGTCGTTGCCGCCGCCGCCGCCGTCGACGTCGTCGTCGTCGCAGCCGCCGCCGCTGCCGTCGTCGTCACCGTCGCCGCCGCCGTCGTCGTCGCTGCCGCCGCCGCCGTCGTCGTTGGCGTCGCCTCCGCCGCAATCGTCGTCGTCGTCGCCGCCGCCGCCGCCGTCGTCGTCGTCGCCGGCACCGCCGCCGCCGACGTCGCCGTCGTCGTCGTCGTCGTCGCTGCCACCGTCGTCGCCATCGTCGCATCGTGGTTCGTCGTTACTCGTCGCCGTCGTCGTCGTCAATCGTCGTCGTCGTCGTCTCTGCCGCCGCCGTCACGCCGCCACCATCGTTGTCGTCGTCGTCGCCGCCGTCGTCGACGTTGTCGTTGCCGTCTTTGTCGCCGTGGCCGCCGCCGTCGTCGTCGTCGTCGCTGCCGCCGACGCCGCCGTCGTCGTTAGTCGTTAGTCGTCGTCGTCGCCGCCGTCGCCGTCGTCGTCGTCATCGTCGTCGCTGCCGCCGCCGCCGCCGTTGTCGTCGTCATCGTCGTCGTCGTCCTAGTCGTCGTCATCGTCGTCGTCGTCATCAACGAAGCAACATCCGCCATCCCCGGCGACATGTGGGGCCAACCGCTTGTAATTATAGGCTTTTGCCTTATACTTTTGCCACTCGACTTCCTCAAATGTGGCCGGTGCTCAAGCGGGAGCTTCATTTTGAGAGTCTTCGCGCCGCAAGCGCTCACCACCATGGCACCGCCATTCCCCAGGCCAGGGTGCCACCGGAGCTCACCGGCAGCGGGGCTGGCATCAGGTTAGGTGCCCGGAGTCAGGCTAGTGGGGGGGGTCGTAATGTGACCTCGGATCCTGCCAGAGATCCACGTCCATGCTTCTCGTTTCTCGAAGACTATTCCCGTCATCCGCTGAGCCTTCCCAATCGAGGGGCGGGTACACCAATACTGTAAGAGAGCCCTCGGCTCAGCCTGGGCGAGATCAATCCACACGTTGCCCTCTCTCCTTTTCCTCCCCTCCCCCATTCTCGCATTTTTTGGTGGACAGTGGCGCATCAGCCTGGCGTCAACCCTGCCTGGTCCGATACCAAGGGTGTGTACGCAAGGCGAAACGAATTTAATGGTTGCCTCTGGAATGTGAAGCCCCAGAAGCGATTATAATACATGCTTTTGCAAGATGGAGGGTGGATGGTGGGAGGAGAATGAGGAAAGCTGAGAGGAGGAAGCGAGCAGCCGATGATCATCCCGCATGTGCGTAAAGTCAGCAACTTTGAGAAGCCTCGATACCGAAAACGTTCAACACATCGTAGGCGAGGGGAGGAGGCGGACGAGGAGCTCAAAAACGAGCCAAACATGGAAGCATTGAAGCGTTGTGTGTGCGCATCCCCCTTCGGATTGGGAATCACACAACTACACGTAAAGAGCCGCGGCACAGTACGTAACCAGTGATACTGATACAATGTGAATTCCCAATGCGAGCTGAAGCAGCTGCTCGAGGTGACAGCCTGAATTCCAAGCGACGTGGCCCAAGGCACGACGCTACCCAAATCTAGAGCCACAAACAAAAACATGACACTCTGGGCCTCCCTGGCGCGCGGAGCACGCCACGTGCGGCGCGGAAGGCGCCGCCTGCGAAGGCGCCGATCCGAGAAATCTGCTCGGAGCTCCGCACGTTTCTGCGCCAATTGTTCATCTTCTTCGGCCATACGCACTCGTACTCACCTTTACCCAGGAGGCCTGGCATGGTACACGGCGCTGGCCAGTATCCCACCTGCGAGCCAGGGCTTTAAGCCTCGGCGAGGTTCGGGATCTGCACGCACCGCACCGACTGGCTCACTCTGCGCCAGCACCGCCGTCGGGAAGCCTGGGCAGCTAGGAGGCGCCCAACCTATTTGGGAGTGGGCTGGCGGGAGTAAGCGCGAGTGCCAGCACCAGACCTCGAGTCTAGGCAAGCACCTCGCCAGCCTCTGCGGAGGGCGGACAGCACGGAGGGGGGCCGTCCGATTTCTGTCAGGCAGCAATGCGGCTTTGCATAGGGTGCCCACTGCTGTGGAACGAGTGGGGGGGAACAGGCGCCGACTTTTGTTTCTCCGCGTCTATCTCTGACGAAAACTGATTGTTCGACATGCTAAATCTGAATGGGGATTCGGGATGCTCGGATGATGCTCGGATGACGCTCGCACGATGCAGTCGCTGGCAAATACGTAAACGCTAAAATCCGAAACATGGCACTACAGCAGGCCCCCAAGGTGGAGCCGCACCCCCCTCCCCCCCTGCCAGGCAGCAGGGGCAAGATGCAGGGCGCCGAGCCTATTGTCTGGCAAGCTTGCCTTCTCGGCCGAGCGGCCCACGCTGCGGTGGGGGCACCAGGCCGCGGGTCGCGGGGCAAGCGGTCCTCCCGCCCCTCTCCCAGCACGTCCGTGGTCGAGGGCCAGGGCGCGCAGGCCACGGCAGCGCTGGCGACCGCTCCGGCCACTGCGGGAGGGGGGGAGCCTCCCCCCATCGCGGCTCGAAGCCCCAGTGAGGGGCAACGTCAGGGGGTAGGGGGGGGGGCAGCTCATGCGGATGGGGCGGGCCATGGAGCTTGAGTCGGCAATACGCCGCCGATAGACCGGCGATAGGCCCCCGATAGCGAAGCCGCACGCTCCTGGGCTGGAAGGGCTGTCGGGCCCCTCTCTGGAGGAGAGGAAAAACGAAGACCATAACCAGGACTGTACATGGAAACGATCTTGGTGATGGGCATCGTGTTTCTTCCCTCCACCATCGGCGATGAGTAGGCGACTGGGGAACGAGGCATCCTCCATGAGCGTCCTCCCCCCTGACATTGCTCCTGACCTTAATGGCGGACTCGCGCAGACCCGCGGTGGACAGCCGCAGAGCCTCATGGAGCCGCCGCGTTCTGCTGGAGCAGGGGCACGCCCTACAGTTAACCCGCACAATGAGGATGCGCGATAAGGATGCAAGGGCCTTGGAAGGCGACGTCGAACTATGCGAGCGGGGCGCGGCCAGCGAAAGCGGCCAAGGATGGGCCGAAGGGGAAGGATGCAAGGGTAACCTTGGAAGTCGCTCATTTTCACTACGCGGGTTGACTGTAAAAGCCTTAATGCACGGATGCCGTGCTTTCGTGCAGGAAAGCTCTCTGCAGGAGCGACCGGCGGAGCGGAGCCCTGGGTGCCCGATGGATCAGAGAATTCGCGGCGTCGCCTCCGTGCTCGCGCCCCCCCCCGCTCCGCATGAGATCGTCCTTTTGCCCACTAGGGGTGACACGTGTTTAAGACGAAACCAGGACGAGCATGTAACATCGGATGAAGATAAACCGAGAATCTTTGAGATCCCGCGGCTCTGGAAGATGTCTTAAGCGCCGCGGCCTTCTCAGAGCGTTCCTGAACGCTCTGGAACAGATGTATCTTCGTCCCAGCCCCGTCACAGTGCATCCAGGGGCGGGGGGAAAAGGTGGGGTTGGCGAGGGAATAAGGGTAATTACCAGCGGCCAGCGTGCATAAACCGAAGGCGCGCCCGCAACACCGGCGCAACGTGGGTGTGCTCACGACAACGCATGCGTGCACCACAGCGCTCAGCGCCCGTGTGCACCACTGTGCCTCTGTTCACCCTGGCGCCTGCGCGCACAGTGGCGCCACATCCCCCGTGTACACCACAGCACCTCTGTGCACCTCAGCACCCAGGTGCGCAGCAGCGCCGTTGCACACCGACACCTGTGTGCACTGGAATGTTTTTGCACACCACGGCGCCTGCGCCCATCACACCAGCCGTGTGCACCACACCGTGGCCGTACAACCATAGCGCCTGCGAGCACCGGAGCGCTTGCGTACACCACAGCACAGCGCCTCTCGACGCCAACACTTGCGTGAAACACCTTGCAATACAATGAAGAAGGCGAGGCCGACGACAAGAGAATGCTATGCCGACGACGCCGACGACGACGATGACGACGACAACGACGACAATGCTTGTGCACCTTCGGGGGCCTTCCGGCCACATCGGTCGTCGTCGTCGTCGTCGTCGTCATCGTCGTTATCCTCCTGCTCCTCTGCCCCATCCTCCTCCTCCTCCTCCTCTTCCTCCTCCTCCTCCTCCTCCACCTCCTCCTCATGGGGATGCCCAATCCGATGGAAACGCCTGTTGGCGGTTCCCCAGGCGTTACCGTTACCCGGGGGAATGGGGGGAGGGGGGGTAACTTACCCCCGAGCCAATCAAAGAACAATCATAGTCCTACCCTCAGTGCCACAGGGCTTCTTTCCCGCTGGTAAGCAGCGCATGGAACCGCCCGCAGAATAACGACGCGTCGCCTGTGAGATGTGGCTCTCGCAAGCCTGCGACCAGCCATGTTTTGGGGCCAGAAAACATACGACACCACCCCACCCACGACCCCACGGGACTTAGCGTATATTAACAAATCTGGCGTGGGTTCTTGCGAAATATACGCTACGGCCCCCGATGGGCTGTAGCTCAACATGGAGGGCCGTAGGTGGGGTGGTGTCGTTTGTTTCTGGGCTGACTTTTGCTGGTCCCCCAAGCCAGGGACAGAATGACTGCGGCGAGAAGCGCGACGGGAACGTCACCGCCTCCTGTCGGAACGGCGGCCCAGGGCGAGAGCCGGGCGAGGGAAGGCCGAATACGAGACAACTCTTCGGGCTCTCTTCGCGAGAGAGCGCGCCGTGCCGCACGGGGCATCCAAAAAGACACTGGGGGCCCCCGCGCGCGTGAGCGCCACCGCCGCGAGCGTCAGCTCGCGCGGCGAGTGTCCATGCCGCGCTCCTCCATGTCCTGGGCTGTCAGCGAGGAGAGGGCGACGGTGAGATCGGCCGCTGCCGGCCTCCCCTCTGGCTGGAAGAAGAAGCACTGCCCGAGGGCCCGGCGCACCGCTTCGACGAACCAGTAGGGCACTAGGGGCGGCAGCCCGCGCCTGAGGCAGTCGAGGATCTGCGGCACCTCGGGCACGTCCTCGAACGGGATGGGCCCCCCTAATATCTCTATCAAGCAACATGCCAAACTCCAAATGTCGGCCTTCTCCGTGAACCGCGACCCGGGGCCGTTGAACAGCTCGGGCGCCATGTAGCGCGGGGACCCGAGCAGCTCCCTCCCCTGAACAACGGAGCTGCCGCTTTCGAGCGCATGCGTCTTCCCGAAATCGCACAGCTTGGCGTTATACCCGGAGTCAAGTAATATGTTGGACGTCTTCAAGTCCAAGTGGGCCAGCACGGGGTCCAGGCCGTGCATGAAGTCGACAACCTCTGTCAATTGCAGTGAAAGTCTCAGGCGTACGACAGCTGGCAAGTTGACCTGGTTCATGTAGAGCAAGTAGAATATGTTCCCATTAGGCAAGTACTCAGTGAGGATGGCAAGGTGAGGGGGCTCGAGCACGCAGCCGACATATCCCACTACGCGTGGGTGCTTCAGGATGCGCAAGGCGTTGATTTCCCTCTCGAAGTTGTGCATCTGCTCCTTGGTCATGGAGCCGTCGGCGCCAGCGAGGCAGCGCTTCAAGGCCAGCACCTCGTTACCGCGCTTGGCCAGCATCACCTCTCCGAAAGACGCCTTGTCTATGCAGCTGCAGATCTGCAACTCCTTCCACCTGATGAGCTCAGAGGGCAAGATGTGCACTCGCAGCTGTAGGTCGGAGCCGCCCTCAGACACCTTCACGTCCGCAGACCTCCGCGCGGACTTTGACGAGAGGGCCTGTGACTCGCCCCTGGGCGTCGGCTCCCTGGCCCTGGCGCTCAAACCCGGCCTGGAACTCGTGCCACCAAGCAACTTCAGCGGTAATGCAGGCACGTTGAGGCCCGAGGCCGCCACGCCCAAATCTTCTGCGCAATCTCTGCCGTCGTGGCTGACGTGGACCACCTCGGTTGCACAAAGCACCGAGCATGACGATGGTTGTGACGTCAGGCGGTGCACGCCCACAGTCGCCCGCATGGAGGCCCTCGGCGTGGACAGAGACACCACGTGCCCCCTGGCTGTCAGGGGGCTTGGAGCTCTACCCCTGCGCTGGTCGTTGCGCCGCGAGTGCAGTCCTAGGCTCGGCACGCTGGCGCTGGGGGTCACGCTGTGGGCGCCGGAAGGGGATCCCAGAACTGACGACACTGTTGCGATTCGCACGGGAGTCATGGTGCTGCTAGACGCCAGTGAAGGTTTTCGTGCCAATGTGACGTACGTTTCACCGTGGGTGAACATGTAGGACTTGGGAGACCAGGAAGAAAACAGGACGCGCAGGAGCGTGCTGACCTTCCCTGCCACCAGGTAATCCTACCATGTGCCCGAAAGCGCTCTCGATCCACCCGTCGAGTCGTGAACCAACATGGCTACGGGGGGTCGTTGCGACCGCCCTAGGGCCGCCTCAGGGGTCTGATTGGACGCGTGTTGGGGGCCTCCCGAACTGTCTTGAGGCCCTCTTGGGCCATCTTGGGCCCCTGCTGGTCGTCATTGGGGACCTCCTGGGGCAGTGTGAGGGTCGTCTTGGGCCGTCTCGGGGCCCCCCCTGGGCCGTCTTGAGCCTCGCTGCTGCCTGAACGGCTCTCTTGGGACGTCGCGGGCCCTTTTTGTTTTGTTTTGGGCTCTTCGTGGGATCCTCTGTGAGCCGTCGTAGGGCGATCTTATAGGTGTCGTCTTGGGCAGTCGTAGACACGCCGGACACCGATATGAAAATCATATACGTAGCCACCTTGAGGAAGTCACGGACTTGTGCCTGGGCCTGGGATGGGCCTCTGGGGGGTGCTATTTGGGGCCCTTTGGGCTGTCTTTGGAAGCTATGGTGTCATGTTTGGGCCCATCGTGACACCCAGCGGACACTCTGAGGATCACTTGGAAGTGTAAAAGGCGAACCAGCGCGCCCAAGAGGTCCCGAATATCGCCCCAAGACGGCCCCCGAGGCCCCCAATAAGGTCTGATAGCCCCCCAAAGACGGCCCGAAACCAGGTCCAACAGGGAGAACACGAACTGACATTTCGAACTGACAGTGTGCCGTTTACCCCAATAGAGCTCCTGCAACCACCAGCGAGCAGACCTCTTGAGGGCCAAGGAGGCTTCGAAGAGGCATGCACGAGGTCTCCAAGAGGCTTCCAAGAAGCTCCCATGAGGCCCCTCACGAGACCACAAGATGCCTGTAAATTGCTTCCAGCCCACGACCCAGGCGCGTTGGCGGGATGGGCCGAAGGCAGCTCGATCCGCCGCCCCCTGTCGGCTTGCCACAGGGGTGCCTGGCGTGCTAAATTATTTCGGTTTTGGTTTTGGTTCTTTTCCAGAACATATCCCCCTGGGGCTTCGGCTTGTCCCGCCGGCCACCCGAAAGGATTGCCCAGAGGTGGTTGCCGAGGGTTTTCCTGCCCCAGATGGCTCCAAGATGACCCAAGATGGCCTCCAAGATGCTTCCAAGACGGCCAAGATGGCCTCCAACACGCCAAAGATGGCCCCGAGATGCCTCCAAGGCGGCCCAAGATGCACCCAAGACGGCCTGAGATGGCCTCCAGATGGCCTGAGACGGCTTAAGAGGCCCCCAAGAGGCCTCCAAGACAGCCCAAGAGGCCTCCAAGAGGTCCTCCAGGAGGGCCCGAACAGGCCCAAATCATTGATGTTCCTTAGGTGTTTGAAGGAATTTGGTATTTGCGCCATTCCGGCTTTTCGACGGCCCAAGACGGCCCAGGAGGCCCCCAAGATCGCCCCAAGATCGCCGACGAGGCCTCCAAGATGGCCCAATGACGGCCCAAGAGGCTCCCCAGATGCTCCCAAGAGGGCCCCAAGACCGCCCGAGAGGCCTCCAAGACGCCCAAGATGGCCTCCAAGACGGCTAAGATGGCCCCAAAATACCTCCAAGACGGCCCAAGATGCACCTAAGACGGCCTAAGATGGCCTCCAGATGGCCCGAGGCGGCTTAAGAGGCCCCCACCATGAGGCCTCCAAGACAGCCCAAGAGGCCTCCAAGAGGTCCTCCAGGAGGGCCCGAAGAGGCCAACATCAGTGGTTTTCCTTAGGTGTTTGAAGGATTTTGGCATTTGCTTCTTTTCGGCATTCCGACGGTCCAAGACGGCCCAAGAGGCCCCCAAGATCGCCCACGAGGCCTCCAAGATGGCCCCATGACGGCCCAAGAGGCCCCCAAGACGGCTCCAAGAGGGCCCAAAAGGCCTCCATGACTGCCAGCATGGCCTCCAAGACGGCTAAGATGGCCCCAAGATGCCTGCAAGACGGCCCAAGATGCACCCAAGACGGCCTAAGATGGTCTCAAGATGGCCCAAGACGGCCCAAGAGGTCCCCAAGATGCCTCCAAGACGGCCCAGAAGGCGTCCAGGAGATCTTCCAGGATGGCACGAAGATGATCCAAGATGGCTTCCAAGACGGTCCAAGAGGGCCCAGGAGGCCTCCAAGACGGCCCCAGAGGCCTCCAAGAGGTCCTCCAGGAGGGCCCGAAGAGGCCCAAATCAGTGGTTTTCCTTAGTTTGAAAGATTTGGGCATTTCCTTTTTCTCGGTATTCTGACGGCTCAAGACGGCGCAAGAGGCCCTCAAGATCGCCCAATGGGCCTCCACGATGGCCCCATGACGGCACAAAAGGCGTCAAGACGGCCCCAAGAGGGCCCCAAAGCAGCGGCAGGCCCAAGAGGCCTCCAAGACGCCCAAGATGCCTCAGGAGGGCCCCAAGACGACCCAGGCAGGCCCCCAAGACGGCTTCCGACGGCGTCAGACAAGCCAGGGACGCCCTCGGACGGCCAAGGAATCTCCCAAGAAGCTCCGAAAAGGCCCCGGAAAACCCTCCGAGAGGCCCCCAGGAAGCTCCCAGGAGGCCCCAAGAGTGCCCCAAGAGGCGCCCAAGAAGCCTCCTCCTCCTAGTCCTCCTCCTCTGTCGATTCATCGCAGGGGTGCCTGGCGTGCTAGACGATTTCGGTGTTGGTGTTGGTTCTTTTTCCCATAGAACTCCCCCTGGGGCGTCGGCCCGTCCCGCTGGCCACCCAGAAAGGAGCACAATTCACAAGTTGTTCGCTCAAGATGGCCCAAGATGGCCTCCAAGATGGCCACGTTGGCCCAAGATGGCCTCCAAGATGGTCAAAGATGGCCTCCAAGTGCGCCCTAGATGGTCCAAGACGGCTTCCCAGACGACCCAAGAGAGTCCATGCTCATGAGGCCCTTCTTTTTGGTGGTAAGTTCTGTTACCATGTGGGGCCACACACAAGTAATGAGGGATCAGTCATGCATGGCTGTCGAGACTTCTGACAGAGCACAGGCGTAAGACGTGCACTATGTTAACAAGGTCCAGAGTGGCCGAGGGTGGGCAGCTTGAGCCCATGCAGCCGCAGAGGGAGGCTGCTTGTGGGCGGCAACAGAAAACGAGAGGGCTTCTCAAAGAAACATCGTGCACATCGCACTACTATGCTCACGAGGCCCTTCTTTTTGGTGGTACGTTCTGTTACCGTGTGGCCACACACAGGTAATGAAATATCAGTCGTGCATGGCTGTCGAGACTTCCATACTACTCGCAAAGGCGAAGTTCACAGCGTAGCGGTAAGACTCGTTTGACATTGCAGCTCAAAGGTTTGTCAGCATACGACAAAGCAGCGATGCAAGACGAAAAAGATACTGAGCAGCACGGCTGGTCATACTCTTTCCTTCGAGCACAACATGTTTGCGGCCAGGTCGAAACGAACAGTACCCATGTTTTCCGTGACAGAGCAGACGACCACGATTCGTTAGACAGAGATCCCCAGAAGCCGTGACGCAACCGAAAACTACTCTCGTGGCTCTCCGCCACCTGGAGCCGAAGGCACACTGATGCAAATCCAACGCTCGTGAGAAGGGAAGTATATTTCCCCGCATGACTTTAGATCGCCACATATACGAAGTTAAAGGATTTTCGAGCGCGTATGGTACATGGTAACGAAGGCAGAGAATGATGTATGCTGAAACCTGGAGGCACAAGTTGCCAAGCTCAACCGCTTCTTTGTGATGGCCAGAGAGCCCTGGAAGCCCATCGGGGTGCCCCGCGCCCCTGACAGGATATCGATTACGAGCCAACGAGAATGACGAACACGGGGACGCCAGCATGACAGCTCGAACCAAACCATATCTGAAGTGTCTCTCAATCAGTTTCAGATTTGCAAGGCAACATACATTCTGATCAGCACCGTTCCAAAGGTCCAAATTCACGGCCTGAAGACCAAGCCGTCGCGCACACCTGGCGACACCGCCACTGCCAGAGAACAAATCCAGCACGCAGGGCACCTGCTGCTTACTCAACTGCCGGCTGACGGCCCCAGGCTGGAGCTTGATCGGCCGGCAAAGGGTGGGGTGGCAGCAGCGCGGCCCAGTAGCAACACATCCTCGAGCTGCCTCGAGGCCGTCACGCAGTGTGCCTTTGTCTCGTCGGACAGGCACTCCCAAGTCTCGTTCAGCCTTCCTGACTTTTCGTATCGCTTTACTGACGTCATCGCCGCCCACCTTCCTCTCTTCTGGACCTCCTCCTGTGAACGCCGATTGGTGGCACGGTCCAGCGAAGCCCCGCTGTGCCGGCCTTGGTAGGGAACGGCACCCACTCCGATGTTCAGAGCAGCCTTGCGGAAGAGGCCCAGGAACTGAAGGTAGCTCAAGCCCAGGAGGGGCTGGGACGAACGACGATCCTTCAGAGCTCTGAAAATGTGGCTCATCCAAGGGCACCGTCCCGAATCGCAAGGTATCGTGTCGTCTGCCGACCCCACCTTGCTCCGAGCCGCTCCCGACTCTGGGAACAGCCACACCGCCCAGTTCTGCACTGCATGCTCGCTCGGGGCTAGGAAAGAGCCGCTCGTGAGCCCTAGCATCTCCCCGGGCCGCAGGTAGCACTCCACCATCACCAGGACGAGCGCCCCTAGCAGCGGCGCTCCCAGACGGCGCAACTCCACTGCCAGCGCGGCCCAGATCGCAAACACCAAGGGCTTCCTCGAGCGAGATGGTGACAGCTTCTTCCAACCATTCAGGCAGCGGAGGGAGCGAGGCAAGTATAAACCTCCCTGGCGGCTGTAGTCCAGGTGGAAGAACATGATGCCTGCTAGCAGCTTCTCCCCTCGCCACGACTTCACTCCCTTCAGGGACTCCAAGTTCATGTACTCGACCAGCAGCGCGTCCAGCTCGCCGGGCACAGGGAGACACTCGATCGAGCAGTGGGCCCAGACACAGAAGACGAGGACGCACTGGCGGTAGGTCTCCAGCGTAGCCTTCCCCACCGACCGGCGCTCCAGGTAGCTGATGGCCAGCTTGCTGCCTCCAGCCGCCCCCTGCTCGCCGTCCAGCTCGTCTATGGCCGTCCGAACCCGCGCCTTGCCCCGGCTCTCGAGGCGTCGCACGCA